CAGCCACAGAAGAGCACAGATGTTTTTCTTGGTGAAATGGTTGTTCAAGTCTTTTTGCCCATTATTTGTTTGTCTTTTTGCTGTTGTGGAATTTTTTACATAGGAGAATAAGCCAAAAAAAAGTATTGCTATAAAATAGGAGAAGCTTTTAGTAAACAAAAGATATAAAAATGTGAAGCTATCGTTTCTCAACCTGTGCTCCATGTAGGTTTATATAATTCTGAAGGGAGGTGTTTCCATTTTTCTAAACTTTCCCCCAGTGGTTTCTGTGTTCTTTGATTTACACTACGTCATAATGGCAGTTTGGGGTGACAATCATGGTTTTAAATGTTCTTTGAGTTAGGAGGAAAAGGGTGGCAAGATCAGGGCTCTTGGATGATGGGGTAAAGTTTCTCAAGGAAGTTCTCCCAGGATAGTCCTTGCTACCCTGAAAGAATGAGCAGATGCTTTTGTTGTGGTGGAAAAATTCCTAAGCACAACTTTCCTGGTCTTTTCCCCAACAATGCAGTTTTCGTGAATCTTTGTAAAAGCCCCTGTGATCATCATGTGTCCTTCAAGAACATCTGTCAAGGTTACATATTTGGAATCTCCCAATCACCATAACCTTCCTAGCTGACCTATCGGCCTTAAATGCAGCTGGTCCAGGAGAGTCCTTCAGAAGCCACTTATTTGATTCGATCTTTTTTTGAAAGCACCCTAGGAAGCCTAAGACAAGTGTACTATGACAAGAAGGTGTCTAGTCATCCACTTATCATAGATACATCTTTAAAAGGATTTCATTTATAATAAACCTATGCATTATGAACTGGAACAGATCCTTGTAACAATAACACCGAATTACCCTATTTTATTTGTATGTGTGATATATGGGAACCATAGTTATATTTTTACTTTTTTTGGAAACAGTCTTCAATGAACAAAATTTTAATTTTAGTAAAGTAATTTTTATCTGTTTTATCATTTGTTGCTTATGCTTTGGGGATCATATTCTAGAGTCAATTGTTAAATATTAACTCGTCAAACTCCTACATTTGATTGAAGACTTTCCTGAATTTAGTTATTACATCTATTCCTGGTGACTTTGCTTTTGTACATCATGTGTTGTATGAGTTCAGACTCATGTTCCTGCTTTAGAACTTCACCATTTGCTGAGGAAACTCTTCTTTCCTCACTGAGTGGACTTAGCATCCTTATTGAAAATGCATTAGCCAGAAATTTGTGTGTATTTCTTTCTGGAGTCTCAACTCTATGCGATTGGTCTACATGCAGTGATGGGATTCAGGCAGTTCACACTGGTTTGATAGAACTGATACCCAGTTTTTTGTTGAGTTTAGTGAACCAGTTGTTAAAATGGCACTTATAATCAGAGTTCTCACTAAACTTTTCTTTTTAACAATTCATCTGTGCAACAGAGTATTCTATGTGCCAGTTGTAATGTTCATTCTGTCTGCAGGTGTAAAAATTAGACAGAGTTATTCTTGTAACATTTATTTATTCATTTCATAAAACTCATTATACTTTTGAGGAAATAATACATTTTTATTTCCCTCGTGTTTGTTACTTCAGTAAACAAACATATAATGTAAAGAAGAAAAGTGCATAACAACCAGAGGATGATACACTGTCATTTGTGTTGCCTTTATATGACCTTCCAGATTCCCATGAAATATTATGAGTGAACTATGAAGTTCCTGAAGGTATTCATACAGCTAAAAATATTGTCTGAACTATTGCTACAAGTTCAGCGGAAACAGAAGGGGGTTTTCCAATGATGAACATAATATGTTTAGAGAAGAGAAGTTGCTAAACTGTTTCAAATATATCAAATACAATGACTATTGCTTGATCGGCCTACCTCTAAAGGAATGGGATCCTACTCCTACAGTGAAAAGATGGTTAAAGATAAATTCTCACAGCTGATGATGCTTGGATAAATGCAAAGACTATTGCAAATGAGGACACCAATAAAGAACAATATGAAAATACCTTAAAGAATAGTTTTATTATTTTTGTCAGGTATCACTTAGTATTCTTCCTTAATATTTCAAAATTCATAATATAATCTAATTTCATGTACCTCTATTATTATTTGTATTTAAGTATTGACCGTATGAAGTAATACACTACCTTTTGATATAACTTTTTTATACTTATAACAGTCATCAGGGCAGTGAACTGGTTATTAAATGTTAAATTATTTGAATCCTACCCCTGTCTATATGCTTATCATTACACAATGTACCAAATTTTGGTTATTTTAGCTTTAGACCAATAGAAGAGAATTGAGAGTCCAGAAATAAGCCACACACACATCTATGGCTTACGTATTTTCACCTAGGATGCTAAGTCCACTCGATTTGGAAAGAAACATCTCCTCAAGAAATGGTGTTGGGAAACACAAATTTCTAATGCAAGAATATAAGTCTGGATGTATATGTCACGTTATGGACAAGAAATCATAATGGATAACAGTAATAGATAAATGCAGGAAACTCTTAAAGCAAACGTAGGAGTTCCATGACTTAGTATTTTAAAATTGACTTTAGAATATGAACCAAAGCACAGCAACAAATAATAAGATAGAGATAAAAAGGACTTTATCAAAATTAAAATTTTATTTATAGTATGTTTTAAAGGAGCCTTGGTTGCACAGTGGTTCCATATTGGGCTGTGATCCACAAGGTCTGCAGTTTGAAATTACCAGCAGCTTTGCAGGAGAAAGAAAGAGATTTCTACTCCAATAGAGAGACAGTGTGGGAACCTCACAAGGACAGTTCTACCCCGCCCTACAGGTTCACTATGAGTTGCCATTGACTCAATGGCAGTGAGGTTTTTTTGTTGTGTTTGTGTTTTCCTGGGGGTTTTTTGGTATGTTTTAGGATTGGCACATGTGTGTCCTCTGACTGTGTTCTTATTTTTCAAGATTGCTTTGATTTTTCACTCCTGTGGCTAAATTTAGTCTCAGTTGTTTTATTCTTTTAAATGCTATTGCAAATGTAATGATTTCAGAAAGCTCATTGTTTATTTTTACATGACAATCTTTTATCTTGTCAATTTGCTGAATTAGTTTATTAGTTCGAGTATTTCTCTTGTGAAATATTTGTGGGTTTTTTCTATATAGAGAGTCATGTCATCGGCAAAAATAGGATAGTTTTTCTTCTTTTTTACTTGGAGAGCTTTTATTTATTTTTCTTATGGAAATACGTATCAAAATCATATTGAGGGATCACTTCACACCACTATGGTGTCTATGCTTTAAAGAAAGAGAAAACAATAGGTTTGGCCATAGATATAGTGAAATTGAAACTCTTGTCCATTGCTGGTGGGATTATAAAATGATACAGCCACTATGAAAAACAGTTTGGAAGGTCCTCAAAAGTTAAACGTAGGGTTCCACATGACACAGCACTTTCTCTTTTTCATATACCCTGTTTCCACGAAAGTAAGACATCCCCCGAAAATAAGACCCACCTGCAGTTTTGCCTATTGCTGAAATATAAGGCATCCCCCTGAAAATAAGACCTTCCCTAAAATAAGGCCCCCTGAAGCGACCGTAACTCTGGACTCTGGACCGTAGCCGTGGGCACCACCGCACAGCTCACTGTTGGCCGCAGCGCAGCCGAAGCCAGCAGGAAGTGCAAGGTCTCTTTTAATAAAACAATAAACAATAAATGTGTACTGTATTCTTCTTCATGGAAAAATAAGATATCCCCTGAAAATAAGACCTAGCGCATCTTTGGGAGCAAAAATTAATATGAGACATGGTCTAATTTTTTGGGAAACAGGGCATGCCCAATAGATTTGACAGTAAGAAGTTAAGCACATATTGTACACCAATCTTCGTTGCAGCATTTTTCATAATAGGCAAAGAGGGAAAGAAATGAAATACCCATCAACAGGTGAATAAATGAAGAAAATGTGTACATACAGGTAGAATAATACTCAATAATGAAGAGAAGTGAAATCTTGATGTATGCTACAACTTGGATTAATTTTAAAAACATGCTGAGCAAAATAAGTGACTAAAAGTAATTATTGTATGATCCCACTTATATGAAATATCCCCTATATATATTTATTATCAGAGGTTCAAAGTAATGAAAATATAAAAAAATTTAAATACCAAATGCTTTGTTTTATGTACATTTACCCTGGTGATTTGTGTGTGTGTGTGTGTGTGTGTGTGAGATTGTTTGAAGCGAACTTGTTTGTCAAAAGACTCGAAGTCCATTTTAGTTTCACTTTCCTCCATTTGTCTTTAAGCCACTCAGACCACTGTTTAGGTTTTAGGGCTAAGGAATCTGGAGGGAGCCAATGATTTTTTTAATGCTACTTTCAGTTGTGTGGGGACACTGAGGAAGACTGAGATTATGTGCGATAGCGTCCATTTTTAAAAATATATTTTTCAATGAAAATGTCTTGTTTTAGCTATAATAAATTTATTTTAAAAGGTCACCTATTGTATGTTATTTAAATGAAACATTCAAAGGAGACTTTATTTATAAAAAATCACTTTCTGTTTGGTTTTGCTATTTTATTGAAATGTGAACTGTGATCATGTCGTTGTTATGAAGGGTGACCCGGCCTGTGAATAATGCCTACTCGCCATAAAAGAGCAAGACAAGCGAAGTAGAGAGAGAGAGATTTCTGATGACATAATTTAAGCACATGACTCAATCTAGAGTCCAAGAAAATTCAGTAAAGTGAATCTTGCTTTGAGTTGGGTTTCTAAAAGTGTCCTGACTTGCACATGTGGTAAATCAACTAATTACTTTGGTTCCCATTTCTACAGTGTTTAACACTGTTCATATAGAAGAGATTTGCTACAGAATTTTATTGACCATAAGAGTGAAGTATTTTTTAAATATTCATTCTTAAGTGGAACTATTGATCAGCAGACCATAATCAACTCTGTTTATGGGTTTGTGCATCAATCAAATGTGCAATAAATTATTTAATAACCAAATCAACATGAAAATGTTATTAAAAAAATTCATTACTTTTTAGTGGTTATAGTAGTCCTTCCACCACTGGACGTTTGGTTATGAGATGAGTATATTTCTTGTCTCAGCTTGGAGAGTTCCTTGTAAATAAAGAAAATAGAGTTATTTGGAGACAATTAGCAACATGAGGTATGAATTAAGCTCAGTTTATTAACAAGGCCATAAGGGGAAAAACGAAACAAAACATTTTCATTCATTTCTAGCCTTGAAGCAAGAATGTTAACCCATTTTTGGAATACCTTGAAACAAGGTATCTAATACATTATGCCTGCGTTGACTAGCATAGGATTTCTATATCTGGGCGATAACATGAAAATGGATAAACATGGTTCTCAAGATAAATATGTGAAAGTTTTCCTTAAACACAAAAGTATTGAAGCTTAAACATGAAAACAGTTATTGATTTCTAAGATAAAGCATATCACTGAACTGTAGTACAAGCACCATTTGTTCAATAACAACAATATAACACACCATTTGGAGTAGTCCTTCAATATCTTCTGCGTGTCAGATCCTGGGCTACACGGTGCAGATAAGGGAAGAATAGAACACAGTTCCATGTGGAAATAGCACAACTTGTAGCAATGAGGTCACAATCTTACTGTTAGTCCCACTGCTAGTGAGATATAAAATCAATGTCTTAAAAATATCTCAGACCATAGCACTTATTTTCTACTTCAATTCCAGCTATCATTTGAATGGTCTCTCTTGAAATATAAATCTTCTGTCCTTCACAAGTATTTACTTTGCATCTCATATAATACAGTAAATTGTGAAATTATATTTTTTTCAAGTTTATGGAAATTCTTTATGAACAGGGTCACGTTTTCTTCCACACTCACTCCTATCTTGCTTATCTCAGATTGACATTTCTTACCTCAGACTGACGTTTTATAAGGGAGTCCTTCTCTTCCAGCAAGCTTGTCATTTCTTTAAGTTTGAATTGGAAATCACTGCAATTTCCTTCTCTTCTACAAACATCTTTTTGGTATTGGTTTAACTGGGTCTAATGATTGAAAAATGACTAAGAATTATTATGATACCAACTAAAAGAATAAAATACTCAAGAATAAATTTAGCCAGGAAGTGAAAAATGTATACACAGAGAAATATAAACAGTGCTTAAATAAATCAAAGAAGACCTAAATAAATGTCATATGGTACTGCTGAATTGGAAGACATAATAGTGTTAAGATGCCAATACCCAAAATAGCCTACAGATTCAATACAATCTCTATCAGAATTCCAATAGGTTTATTTACAAAAATTAACAAATTAAATTTCAAAATCATATGTAATTATAACCTTTTATGGATAAAAAAAGTTATCTGTAGAAGGAAGAAAAAGTGAGATACTCACATTCACTATAGTAAAATATAATTTAAAGCTAGAGTAATAATAAAGACTGACAGTGGTATGAGAATAGGCATACAGATAAATGAAGTAAAGTTGAGTGTTCAGAAGTAAAGTTACATATCTATTGTCAATTTATTTGAGAAATAGTTCTAAGCCCATTCAATGGGACAATAATTTCTTTTCTACAAATGTTGCTGGGACTAGTGGAGCTCTATATGTAAAATAACTAAGTTGCACAAGTACCTTACATAATATATGAAGATTGACCCAAAATGGATCAATGACCAAATTTTATCATTTTAAGACTCTTAGAAAAAATTTTAAAATCTTTTATTGAAAATAATTTCTTAGCCTATGACAGAAAAAGCAGAAAAATATAAATAAATCCATCAAAAATGATATTTTAAGCATCAAAGAACTTAATTAAGAAAATGAGAAGACAATCTACCAAATGAGAGAAAATATGTGGCTATCTCATATCTAATAAGCATTAAACAGTCAGTATATATAAAGAATTTCTACAACAACAAAATGATAACTCAATGTAAAATAGACAAAGCACTTGAATTGACATCCCTCCAAAGAAGATCTAGAAATGAACAATTAGCAAATGAAAAGATGCTTAATGTCATTAGCCATTAGAGAAAGCCAAATCAAAATAACAATGAAATATTACTTCATATCCAGAGGAATTTATAATACCAGAAAAATTGAAGAAAAAAATCACATTTTGAACTCTATTGGCAGAAATTGGAACTCTTGTGTATTACTTGTAGGAATATACTATGATGCAGTCACTATGGAAAACAGTAGGGAAGTTTCTCAAAAAGTTAAATATAGAATTCTATAAGACCCCTCAAATTCCAATTCTCATCATGTATGTTAATCTACGCTGTTGGTTCTCTGTCCAAAGAATCACTTAGTATTTCTTGAAAGGTTCGTCTGGTTTTAATAAATTCCTTTAATTTCTTTTTATTTGTAAATGTCCTAATTTCACTATTAGAAACACAATTTTGTCTAGCATATAATTCTTGATTTTTAATGCATGCCTTCCTATTGCCTTCTCTGTATTGTTTCTGCTAAAAAATTGGAGCTTCATATTATTTTGTAGGTAATTTTTCATTTCTCGAGTGTTGTTCGCAGGATTCTTTATTTGGCTTTGGTTGAGAAAGCTTGATTATGATATGCTGTGGTGATTTTCATTTGGGGTGGATTTTGTTTGGGGTTCTTTCAGTTTCTTGAATGTTTATGGTCTTATTTTTCATGATGTTACATTCATGTATGTTACATTCCAATAACTTTTATAATGTTATATTTTTGTTTTTTCTTCCTTTTTTGTAACTCTGATCACACATAAGATTACTTTTGATTATATCCTACATAATTCTTAGTATTTCTTAGTATTTTTTGTATTGTTCCTCTAGTTTCATATTGAAGGATTTGTCCTCAAGCTCATTAATTTGGACTCCCAAAGAATCAATTCTAATTCTTTGCTCTGTCATTGGATTATCTACTTCTGAAGCCTTAGTATTAATGTTCTGTTCTTCTATTTGCTGTTTTGTATGTTTAATTTTTTAAAACTTTTTTGTCAGTTTGTTCATGTAGTATTTTCCTGAATATACCATGCTCATGGTTAGAAATGGATACTGAATAACGCAGGAAGTATCAAGAGAAGATGAAAAGGATACGCAGTCACTGTACCAAAAAGAACTAGTCAACATTCTTTCATTTGAGGAAGTAGCATATAAGCAATAATCAAAGATGCTGAAGGAAGAAATACAAGCTTCACTGAATGGACGGTCCTAAAATGATTCATGCAGGAATTTTGGAATATCCATTGAAATGCGTCAGCATACTGATGAAGCATTGCAAGTGCTCGCTCCTCTATGTCAGGAAATTTGGAAGGCAGCTACTTGGTCAACTGACTTGCAGACATCAATATTTGTACCCCTCCAAAGAAAGGTGACCCAAAAGAATGCTCAAACTACAGATCAATAATATTGATATTATAACAAGAAAGAGTTTGCTTATGATCATCCAACAATGATTGCAGCAATACATTGACAAGAAACTACCGGAAGTTCAGGCTGGATTCAGAAGAGCACAAGGAATGAGGGATATCATTGTTGATGTCAGATGGTCTTGGTTCAAAGCAGAGGATACCAGAAAGATGTTTACTTGTGTTTCATCAACTGTGCAAAGACATTTGACTGTATGGACCATAATAAACTGTGGAGGACCTTGAGAAGAATGGAAATTCTGGAACACTTCATTGTGTTCATTCAGAATTTGTACATGGATCAAGAGGCAGTTGTACAAACAGAACAAGGGAATACTGCATGGTTTACAATCAGGAAAGGTGTGAGTCAGGGTTGGATCCTCTCATCACACCTGTTCGATCTGTATGCTAAGCAAATTATCAGAGAAACTGAATTATATGAAGAAGTATATGGCATAAGGATTGGAAGACGGCTTATTAACAATCTACAGTATGTACTGAAAGAGAGGAGAAATTGAAGCACTTGCTGATGAAGATCAAGGATTATAGCTTTCAGTATGGATTACAACTCAATATAAGGAAGACCCAAATCCTCCTAACTGGACCAATAGGTAACATCATGTTAAAAGGAGAAAAGGTTGAAGTTGTCAAGGATTTTATCTTACTTGGATCCACAATCAATGCTCATAGAAGCAGCAGTCAAGAGATCAAAGGACATTACATCAGGCAGATCTTCTGCAAAAGACCTCTTTAAAGTGTTGAAGAACAAAGATGTCATTTTTAGAACCATATCTGTGCCTGATAAGGTTTTCAGTGGCTCCTTCTTCTGAAGTGCGGGCTGGGTCCTTCTTGTCTTCATCTTGTTTTTTCTGTATCTGAAAGCTCCACTGAAACCTGTTCGCTTTAGGTGACCCTACTGGCATTTGAAACACCAGTGACTTAACTTCCAGCATTACACCAACAAAAAAGTCAACAAAGTACAACTGACAGACAAGTAACCGCTGAAAACCATATGCATCACTCAGAAACATTGTCCTGAAGGCATACTGAATGGAGGCAGAACATTATTAGAGACAGTGCTGGAGGATGGGCCCTTTGGATCAGAAGGCACTCAAATGTGAAGAGCTAATTTCTCTGCATGGAATTAACGTGGTGACAAGAGCTGTGTGAAGCCTGTGGGAGTGCAGTCTTTGAGATCTTCATTTGCTGATTGGGAACAGTCCAAGGTAAGAGGATATAACTGCAAAAATCTACTAATATTTGGAACTTAGGATGTACAAAGTATGAAGCTAGGAAAATTAGAAGTAGTCAAAAATGAAAATAAATGCAAATAAGTCAATATCTTAGGTTTTAGTGAGCTGAAATGGACTGTTTTGAATTGGAGAATCATATGATTTACTGTGGTGGAAATAACACAATCACTAGGAAGGGTGCTGTATTCATTGTCAAAGGGGACATTGCAAAACGAATCATGAAATACAATGCTGTCTATGATAGGACTATATCTATCCACATGCAAGAAAGTCAACTATTCCTCAAATTTATGCACCAACCACAAAAGCAAGTGATGAAGAAATTGAAAAATTCTACTAATGACTTTAGTCAGAAATTGATAAAACATGCAATCAAGATGCTTGGTAATGATTGGTGATTGGAATTCAAAAGTTGGAAACAAAGAAGGGACAGTAGTTAGAAAATAAAGGCTTGGTGCTAGACCAAAACTAGCAATCACATGATATAATTTTGTAAGACCAACAAAATTTGTTCCTTGAAAATACCCTTTTTTGAACACATGGACTTGACCAGATAAAATACATAGAGATCAAACTGACTAGATCTGGGGGATGAGACACTGGAAAAGCTCAATATCAGCAGCTGAAACCAGGGTAGGGGCTGACTTTGGACATGACCATACATTCCTTATATATAAGTCCAGGATAAAGCTGATAAAAATTAACACAAGACCATGAGAAGCAAAATATGACCTTGAGCATATCTCACCTGAATTTCGAGAAGATCTCAAGAACAGATTTTCTGCATTTTACACTAATGACAAGCGATCTGCTGAACTGTAGGAGGACATTAAAACCATCATTCATTAAGAAAGCAAAAGATCATTTATAAAACAACAACAACAGGAAAGAAACCTGGAATTCTGTGATGCTTGATCACTGAAGACAAAAATGGATGCATATCACTGAAGACAAAATGGGTGCATAAGCAAATGTGGTGAAGAAAGTGGATGGTGCCGGGCTATCAAAAGATATACCATCTGTGGTTAAAGGCCTGAAGTTAAACAAGTGACTATCTAGCACAGAAGCAACAAGCCCACATGGAAGAAGCACACCAGCCTGTGTGATCATGAAGGTAAGAGGCACCAGAAGACTCAAAACAAGACAAAAAACATATTTTTGAGAATGAGGGGGGTTGGAGCAGAGACCCAAAACCCATTCCTCACAGGTGGGTCACAAGGAAGGGATGGGTCAACCAGGGTGCAGTATAGCACTGATGAAGCACACAATATGCTTCTGGTTCTTAGAGGCTTCCTCACCCCCCCCCCACTATCATGACCCCAGTCCTGTCTTTCTGTTCTTGCTAGACTGGAGCATGTACACTGGTACAGATAAGAGCTCATGACACACGGAATCCAG